GGTTAAACCTGGACCAGAATATTCAGTCACGTGGTGAGAGAAAGAGAGAGGAGATAATAGGGGTGGGACTAAGTTGGGCAAGGTTGATAGTAGAGGGGAGGGTTGATAGTATCAGTGTAAAGGATCTCCGAGAGATGAGGACGATTACTCCAAGTTGGTCCTCAACAGGAATGTGTACACTATTTTTTGAAGCCCCTTCCTCTGCTTTATATTTCTGTTCATTTACTACCTTGACCCTATTCCATCCCTCAGATGAGGAACCAAGTTTAAAAACGATGCATTGAAACAACTTAAAAGTGGACAAAATTGTCTGATTTTACATAAGCGACATTATGTTACCTATTAATATAAATATTACATCATTTAATTTTATTAAATAATATTAATCAGTTACTGATTTTCAGTAAAAAGTAACTGAAAAATTGGTTAAACTTGACTAATTGAATCAGTTAAAAAAATAATTTAGGTACTGAAACACCAGATATTTTTAACTTAAAGAGTGTATTTCTCACCATTTCAATCTGAAAATGGAATGCATCATGGAATTCATTTAAAAATCGTTTCTCGGATTCCGCTATTTTGAATTTTTGAAATCTGACTTCAAATTCGTAATCAGCAACCCCGAAAACACCCGAGTAATTAGTTTCAACTAAATTCCATGAATTTTACAAAACTCGGCAGCCATATTAGATCCACCATTTTGAATTTTTGAAATTCGACTTCAGATTCGTAATCAGCTACCCCAAAACCCCCGAGTAACATATTAAAATTTAATTACTTAATTCGACGAACTACGACCATTACTAACTAACTAACTTACTAATTTACTAACTAACTAACTAACTGACTTGTTAATTAACTTTCTGACTAACTTACTAACTAATTTAATAACTAACTTGCTAACTAACTAGCTAACTAACTTACTAACTTAATTACTAATTAACATACTAACTAACTTAGTTAACAAAGTTACTAACTAACTTACATACTTAATTACTAATAAACTTACTTAATAACTAACTTACTAACTAACTTACTAACTAAGTTACTAACTTAATTACTAATTAACTTACTAACTAACTAACTTACTTAACTAAGTTACTAACTAACTAACTAGTTAACTTAGTTACTTACTACCTTACTACTAACTAACTAACTAATTTAATTACTAATTAACTTACTAACTAACTAACTTACTTAACTAAGTTACTAACTAACTAACTAGTTAACTTAGTTACTTACTACCTTACTACTAACTAACTAACTTACTAATTTAATTACTAATTAACTTACTAACTAACTAACTTACTTAACTTAGTTACTAACTAACTAACTAGTTAACTTAGTTACTTACTTCCTTACTAAGTTAGTCAGTATTTAAGTTATTAATTTAATAAGTTAGTTAGTAAGTTAATTAAGTTATTAGTAATTAAGTTTGTAAGTTAGTTAATAAGTTAGTAACTTAATTAGTAATTAAGTTTGTAAGTTAGTTAATTAGAAAGTTAGTTAGCTAGCTCGTTAGTTAGTAAGTTTGATAGTTAGTAAGTTAGTAACTAACGAACAATTGTCCCTGGTGAATCTAAATTCGTCGAATTTTGACAAATCATTGACTTGGTGTTTGATTTAAATTTAAAGTAAAATTTCATTCATAGTCAATGATAATACTAAAATAGATTATTTTAATCCTTTCTTGTGTTAATTTAATCTTAGAGGGATTAAACTGTTGCAGATTATTTTAATCCATTCTGGTGTTATTTTAACACCTCACGATTTACTGTTTGTCAGTTATAATTTGCCGTAAGGGGATCATTCACATATTACGTTACGCAAATGGGTAAAATTTGTAAACCCCACCCCCAGGAATGGGACGTTAAAATCTAATTTTAAGATTAATGCCTGTAGTTAAAGGATGAAAGGTGCAAGGAGAAAGAATCGCTGGTGGCGAGGCAGAAGGAAAGATCGAAGAGAAACGTCGTCTGACAAGTAGTGTAGATCCGACAGTGGTCAGACGAGCCTTATCGTGGGTTTTAACGCGAAAAGAGGGAATGAAAAGAGGTTTTTAAGTCAGCCAGTGGCATTTGTACGTGTCGTCTGACATTTCTCTTAGTCCACCTATTTCTCCCACTCGTTATTTTCCGTTAGAACACTCGTTTTTCTCAATTGGTCAATGTCAAACTCGCCTTTTCCTCTCTACTTTCTGAGGTCGTTTTCCTTTTTAGGCCTGTACATACACAGAGTCGTTGCCAAATAGCAAAGCTGTAATTTTGTATACACTGAAAAAAATTATATTGTTAATTCTGACGTACGAGTATGGTTAGGACTTTTGTCTGAAATAAACATATAGAATTGCTATTCTTCAAATACAGTACTGTTTGTTGTGGTAAAAATTAGTCATAGTGTAAATGGAAAAAATAATTTTAATTTTAGTGGAAGTGAAAATGAGAGCGTAAATGTAAAAAATGTTCTTGATAAAGTGAAAAAAATTCATTTTAAGAAAAGTTAAAGTCAGAGTATTATTGAAAAATGCTAATTTTAGTCTATCAGTAAAGTTTTTTTTCACAAAAGTCATTTCGACTGAAAAAATAAATAATGTATTCTATTACAAAATAAATATGAGAAATTGTTAAACTAGTAGTTTAGTACAAGTTCACAAAAAAGTAAATGTACATTTAACAAGACTGACTTTTTTGCAGCTCATATGGCATCGGTTGAACACTTGGTGTTTTAGAATTTAGCCGATGTTGATAGTCTCAAAGTGGATGGCGAGACGGAAAAAATGGCTTCAGTTTGGTTTTTAAGAGTGGGAGTTGGAAAGGCGGTGGTAGACGTTTTGAATGCTTCCTCGCATTAACAGCACTCTAGTTCGTGCAAGTGGTCTATTACAGGCCTTTCTCTCTTTTTCCAGTCTCCTTTACAAACCCTTACACCCTCGTGCGTCTAGTCCCTTTGGGCAGCTTGACGGGTTTTCTGCGTCTTCCGATCTCTCGATCTACCTTTGACTTGCCATCCACCTTCCGCTCCGGCAAGTCTTCTTCCTTTTCTTCTTCTCTTTTTTGAGTCACCATTATATACCCCATTGCAAAGAGAGAAGGGGTTTGGTCTTTCTGTCCGAGCTCCTCTACCATCTCTAAAAGTCTTTTCTTGACCAGAAGAGCTCATTTCGATTAAGTATAATGGTGGAGAGGTATGGCAGGAATGAAAGACTTGACTTTCACGAACACTACGTAGTAGCTCAATATACTGTGCGTAAGTATCTTATAGGGAAGTATCCCTTTAGTTTCTTCTTTATTTTATTCCTCCCTCTCTTCCTATTCCTTTCGCAAAGTTTCTTTTCACATTTCAGGAAAACTATATACCTGGTGTTGTTATTATTTTTGTATGGAGAAAAATTAACTTTCTTAAATTAAACAAATTAGAGGAGAGTAGGACTAGATGGGATACTTTGCACGTTCTCTAATTCTGTTACTTTTGCATTAAACAGAAAGTTTAGTAAACACGGAACATTTCAACTTTTATTTTAATAAAAGTTCTTTCATATGTTCATATTAATTATAAACTATTTCACAATCAATTGCAGCTCAATTTGCAGTAAAATAATAACTTCACAGTTATTCTGCGATTGTTTTTTAACTCTTATTTTTGTACCTGTTAATATGCAAATTAATAATCTTTATTAAATAATTTTTTTATAACCTCAAGAATTCAAAAATCACATTTTTCAAAAATATCATTCCGAATGCATAATTTTCAAAATTTATAGTAAAAATAATTTTATAAAAGCAGAAGTGTTTAATGTAATCAAATTTATGTAGTAATAAAAAAAAAAATAAACTGATCTAAAAAATCTTCAAGAGGTAGCAAAGTGTTCAATAAAAGCAAAAAGCTTTAACAAAATCATGCATTTAGTGTGCGGGCGAAAAATAATTTTAAAAAAATTATGTATCAACAAATAAGTTTGCAGCGGACTAGAGAAGAGATACTATAAGATGCGTTCCCCTTGCGGAAGCTTCCTGCTATCTTGAAGAGATACATCGACTTTCACGTCCGAACGAACGGTTGCGAACCTTTTTGATATAGCAGCAAACTTGTTTCCTGCGTGTTCCTATTTCAACTAACCAAGTTTTTTATTCGTGTAAGGTTATTTTAAAATTTGAACGACTATGCCAATTTTGGCTTGAGATCCGGATTTACCGGGTTTAAAATACATTAAAAATACACTAATTAGCGCTTTTGATAATTTGATTAGGTTACCTGAAAAGTTCAAAATAATTTGACATTCTCGATAAGCTAATGTTTTATTCCTGGCGTCGCGAAAATACGCCACGTAAATTACAACACTTATTCATGTTGTAAATTGCATATCATATGTTTCTAAAAGGAAAGTTTACTAAAAAAAAGAAATTCAGAGGTTTTCCAGGTTGATTTTTATATGAATCTAAAGTTATAATTCCAAAGTTAAAAATGCGGTTGTTCCAATATAGTGGACGAAATCTAAAAAAATTGGTTTCTCACACAACTTAAAGTCTATAAAGGTTTTGAAGAAACGATCGACTTTTAGAAATACTCATCCACCGTTTTGAATTTAAAAAATTTAATGCCAGAATCGTAATAAGCGACTCCACAAACCGCGAAGTAAAAATCGATTATCTTGTTATTTCTCTTATGTATATTTAAATTTTAAATTTAGACTGAACAACATAGCTGACTCATATACGTAGAAGCGCAAAATTGTTTTGTTTATTATTATGTCATATTCTTTATTTTTTATAAGGAAGAAGATAGCGTTTTTTATTTTTTTATAGGATGAAAAATATGGTTAAGAATTTACAAAAATCTAAAACAAAAAGAACAACATTTACATAATTAGCTACTGTCTGGGGTTAATATAACTGTATCTGGCGCTTTAATTTAAAAAAATATGTGATAAAAAGTTTTATAAATCTATATGTGTTAAATCGTTTATTTAGAAAAAACCATTAATAAAAATTGTCTGATTTCAGGAGCGTATGACGGCTAACGGAAATTCACCTTTGGATAGTATGCGGACGTTAGAACATTATTTAAGTGACATCATGCGAGCGGGTGCGGCTGATACTCCGGAACATCTAAAAGGTAAGAATACTGTTTCTGATGCTGTACACTTCCGAATATGAACATTAACGAGACATCTTATAAACATCACATGTCCCTGTGCCCACTGGGTCGCAACACTTATTTGCATGTTGTAAATTGCACGTCACACTTTTCCAGACCAACACAGAATTGCATTAATTAAGAATTAAATAATTTAACTTTCCCAAAATAATAATTATATCATAAATTTTACAACTGTATATGTTTACAAAAAGATCCGTGTATGGAATCTCGAATATAATCAATATAGTTTGTTATTCGAATTGTTTTTGACGTTAAATTCATTTTAATGTAGAATTTGAATTAACTTTTGCGCCACATTCATTTTGATTTCGAATTAGAATTAACTTCAAAATGAATTTGAAATCTAAATGAGTTTGGCACCAAAGTCAATTCGAATTCCAAGTCAACACACATTTGACGTAAATTCGAATTCAAAATCAAAGTGAAATCAAATTACATAATCGACCCCCCATATTTAGAATAATGAAGAACTTTTATTATAATAGCGTGATCAAATTAATAATATTTTTTCAAAACTACGGATGATGAATATAGAGTAACATTTTTTTTCGTAAATCTTATGAAACCAAAAGTGCATTGAATAAAAGCTTTCTGAAAAATATGAGAGTAAAGAGTACAAACGCAAAAGACGGAAGCAAAGTATTTTACGTTTCTAAAAGATTCCTAAATATCCCATTGGCACGACCATTTGTTTATGATTGGCTGTGTATACCTAACGTTCGTTTTGTGTCTTCTCCTTTTCCATTTTGGCTTTCATCTATTTCTTGACTTTCGACAAGGTCGACAGTCCATGAAGCAGAAGATAGAATCCAAGGTAGAATCGCATTGGCAATGTGTCTCAGAAAGATTGTCGCAAATCTATGACAGCGACCCAATACGGAAACTCAATTCAGTGCGTCAATCCCACCTCGACTCTCTCGTGTTCTTCGCCTTTTTCTCCTTTTTCGATTTTTATTCTCTACACATTTCATCTGCCTCTTTGGCTTCGTTGCGCCACTTTTCACTGCGATTTCTCTTTTTCGTGGACTAGGCAACCCTCTGAATTCCCGCCCTTACCTACTTCAGACAAATAGCTACAAAAATGAGTTGAGAAACGAGAATTTCTTGAAAATCCGCTTTTATTTTTAGAATTTTATTTAGTTTTAGCTGTTTTAGATTTTTAAAAAAGTATTTTTTTAAATTAAGCATTTTTGTTTACATTCAGTTTGACACTGTATTTTAACATAAAAACTCTACAGAAAAAGGGGTTTATAAATTTTTATTCAATTATTGCTTTTTGCACAATTTTATTCGACATATTAAATTTTAAAAAACTAAATTTTTTTTAAACTCTACAGAAAAAGGGGTTTATAAATTTTTATTCAATTATTGCTTTTTGCACAATTTTATTCGACATATTAAATTTTATCCACCATATTGGATCCGCCATTTTGAATTTTCCATATTTGACTTTGAATGCGTAATCAGAGACCCTGAAACCTCTTAAGTAATAATCACGTGAATTCAATTAGTTTTTAACAATTTTGTTCGCCATATTGAATCCGCCATTTTGAATTTTCCAAATTTGACTTTGGATTCGTAATCAGCGACCCTGAAAACTCTAGAGTAACAAATTTCAATCGAATCCACAGATTTTTGAAAAATTTCGTCCGCCATGTTGGATCCGCCATTTTGAATTTTTAAACTCTGACTTTGTATTCGTGATCATTAATTTAACTATTAATAAAAAATAACATTCAGTGAATTAAATTACTTTTGTTACTATTAATCAATACAAACAAAAAATTACTGTGATAAAAATGCTAATTTAATTACATAACAAGTACATAAGTTTATCTTTTCAATTTTTTAAAAATAATTGTTGGAATCACTTAGCGTAAAGTAAGAATGGATATACCTATTTTTTTTTTTCTTGTTTCTGTGAATTAGGAAATTGAATTAAAGTACGTTTCAATTCAATTCTATTTAATGCAATAAGGTTTATCCCACACTAATCTGAAGAGTGTAATATTTAATTTGGCTAATTCTGGATAATGAAATTGGTGCAATTCATTTTGAAATTGAACACCGGGAGCTGAGTGGGACAAAGTATCGATTGTCGATTAGTGAAAAAGTGCAGAGTAATGTTGAGATCTTCCAATTTCCTGACTTTGGTTGGCAAACCCTCGTTTCGCAAAATTTAGAGTCATCACGTATACTATGTAGGGTTAAAAATGGAGAGGATAAAAAAATGTGAATTCAAGTAAAATGAGAACAGTAAAAAAAGAAATTTCACATTTGCGATGTAATTTGATGTTCCAAATCACAATGTTTTCTGACATAATATTTAACATTTTTACTATCATATTATATTTGAGGATATGATACAAATTTGCATCTAATCAGCAAATATGGTTAAATAGCATTTCAAAAACAAAAATAAATTTTTTCTTAAATCAACTGACGATATAAACACAAAACTTTTCATTTTTGAATCAATGAGAAAATATAATTTGGAGAATTTTAGAGAAATTGCAAATGATTGTAGAAATTCAATTATTTTCAAAAGTAATAAATTTCATCGCAAATATTCAATTATATTCCAAATTTTTAAAAAATTCTCGTCAAAATTTCAATTATCTTTAGAAATAATTAAATACTTCTCCAAAATTCAATTATTTTCCAAAAATATTTAATAAAATTCTTGACAAAATTTTAATTATTTACAAAATTTTTTCTCAATTCAATCATTTTTAATATATACATATAATTATTTTCATAAAATAAATAAAATTTCACAGGAATTCAATTATTTACAAATTTTTTATAAATTTCTTCTCAATCATTCAATTATTTTCATAAATAATAAAATTTTTGCAGGGATTTAATTATTATCGCAAATAATAAAATTATTTTTAGGAATTCAATAATAATAAAATTCATTGTGGAATTCAATCATTTTTAATGCAATTTTAATCAAATTTCTCGAAAAATGTAATTATTCTTAAAAATTTTATTAAAATTATTCAAAAGAATTCAATTAATAAACAATTTATTGATGAAATTCTTTAGGAGAATTCAATTTTGAGAAACATGCAATTATTCAAAAAATTATTTTTTTTATTTAAATAATTATAAATTAAAACCTTTGATAATCTGAATTTTTCATATTTTTAACTAATAATTCTGTGGAATTAATTTTTTTGGGAAATTTTAATTACGGATTTTTTTTAAAACTAATTCAAATTTTTATTTTCTAATATATATTTATAATTGAAGAATTTACGAATAATTAAAATTGTGTAAAATTGAATTGTAAACAAGTGAATTTGAAAATTCTCAAAGAACTTTTTCAAAAAATTATAAAAAATAATGCATTTAAAGAATAATTTTAGTTAAAAACACGAAAAAAAATTTAATTTTGGAAAAGTTACAAATTATTTCAGAAATTAAATTATTTTACAAGATTAATAATATTCTAAGCAAAAATTAAATATTGTTCAAAAATAATAAAATTCTTCTTAGAGATTCAATTATTTTCACAAATAATAAAATTTATTGGAGAATTTCAATTATTAGGTATTAATTAAATTTTAATCAAATTTCTCGAAAAATGTAAGTATTCTTAAAAATTTTATTAAAATTCTTTGAAAGAATTCAATTATTTAAAAATTTGTTAATTAAATTCTTTATGGGAATTAAATTTTAAGAAACATGCAATTATTCAAAAAATTATTTATTTTTTTGGATTTAAATAATTTAATTCTAGTAGAATTTCCTAATATAACAATTGATTTAAAAACGAATTTCAATTAAAATTTTAGATAATAATTGAATATTAAAAGCAAAATAGCGTGAAGTTTTAGAAATGTATTGAATTTTGAAAAGGTTTCAAAAAAAAAAAATCTTTGAAAGTCGGAATTTTTCCTACATTTTAGATAACAATTCTATGCAATTAATTTTTTTAGAAAGTTTAATTGAATTTTTTTTACATTATTTTAAGTTTTTATTTTTTCTAATATATATTTAATCGAAGAATTTACCAATAATTTAAATTTCGTAAAATAAAATATTGTAAACAATTGGATTTTAAAATTGTCACTAAACGTAGTGTTAAGGAGGAATGGTATAGAAATTCAAAACATTCAGAATCTTTTGATATTTTGGGAAATGATTTGCTTTTATATAATAAAGTTACCCACCAAATTTCAGAATTTTTCACTAAATAGTTTACAAGTTAAAAATTATTTAATTTAACATTACCTCTTATGGGGAAAGCACGAATTTGCATGTTTATCATAAAAAATTTAATACTTAAAACATTCAGAATTTTTTGTAAAAATTGTATCTTGAAGGTCAAGATTTAAGCTTTATTAATCACGAAGGTTCTTTTTTATTCACTAATTAGTTTAAAAGTAATTAATTAGTTTCTGGAAGAAAACTAATTTTATGACAGACAAACAGAGAAAACGTGGCAACACTGTATATAAAGTCTCACATGTGACAGCTGTTTAGTGGTACATAAAACCAAGAGATGGCGCCAAAGGTACCAAAAATGACAAATTTTCATTATTTTTAACCACACAAATGAGGGGCTCAAAGTAAAAGTGGTATAAAATAACAGTGCAAGCAAAAGTGAGTCAAGTTTTCGTAAGCGCGGAAGAACGAAACAAATGTTACGCTACGAGGAAAAACGAATTACTTTTGGCTGCGAGCAAAAGCGGGATAAGATTTCACTGCGCGCAAGAAAGGGATACAGATATATTCCGTTTTTGCCCGCACTCATTTTAAGATTCATTTTTGCCTGTTTCACTCTTCCCATATATTTTATAGGTATTATTACCACTTTAATACTTATAATGATATTATTTCAAAATTAATTAACAAATTCAATTTTTTAAAATTTTAATTTAAGAATAATATAATTATTTCAATTTTTAGGTATTTAAATATAAATTCAATTACTTTACAATCAG